ACAGCGTTTTGCTTCCTTATCAACAAACATTTGGACATTGATAATCAGCTGAATGTAGGTTTTCACTGGAAAATCTTATATGACAACTTTTTCATGTGTCAGTGGATCCCAGATATATAATTACAACCAAATGTACTGAAAATATGATCGAAGCTGAGCAACGGAGCTTACAAATGAAGCTGGGTCAAAGATCTGAAATGGAAGACTTTGCGTGCAATTACACTTTAGCATTTAACATCAAGCGCCCTTTGCAAACCTGCCAAATGTGACAGAAGCAGAACAAGAGTGCAAAATTGTGAGAGCTGTTTCAGAGCTCCTTTAATTTGTAAACACATTTTCTACTTAGGAAATTACTTAAGATTATTATCATTATTTCACAACAGCTGTGAAATACAAATTCGAGTCCTAACTCACTTTCAAAAACATGTTTGCCTAATTGCACAGACAAAATAAAGTCATTAAAAAAAAGTCTAATTGAAAGTATCCACGTTCAGTTGACTTTGCCTGCTCTGAAGTTAAGAAACACAACACCACTAAATTACAGCAGCAGCATCAGTTTACGCTTAAATAAGCAAACAAAAAAATGAAACATACTGACGTAATAAAATTGATCAATTTGCACTATCAAATCTGGCCGATGTCACTCCTTAATTAATCTTTACGATAGTAGATCGTAAAGCGGAAATGCGTTGTTGTCGTTTTTATATCTTTTGCTATGTTTAAGAAAGCTGAAGAAAAAAGAAATGCTGTAGGAGAATTTCCTAATGACTGTCACTATTCTGTCACAAAAACTACTCATATAATTGTTTGCTGATTTGATGCCTTCATGGTTTAGGCACAAAAATGACTCGGCTATGAAATAGTGGCAATCATGCTAAAGAGAAACCAACATTCACTGTTGGTTGAAATAAGGAAACAAATACAAATCTATCAAAAAAAAATTTGCTGCCCAGTACCACTTACTGATCATCTCCCTCTAAGGTTCTGTCACATTTCTTCCTCCTTTGTTCCAGAGTCATAACTCCTGCAGCCACAAGAGGTCCTTGTGAGGTAAAAACTAACGTGGGTCATATTAGCAATTTGAACAAATTTCTCATCTGCTACATTTTTGAAACAATGTGCATATAACAGCCTGTTTTGATGGTGGTATAAATATGTTGCAGGAATGAAACACAATGCTTTTGTTAGTCCTACATATATTCAAGCTTTTAACACAAATCTATACACAGCAGACGGATCAGGTCAGTGAGACGTGAAAGTTCAACACACACCTTGACAATTGACAATCTTCCCATTTTTCTGAGTTACATCTACCTTCTGTTAGCAGTGGATTGAACAGCATTAATTGGCCTCATGTCACCAGTAAAAGGATACTGGGGAGCAGGGAGTAAATGAGTAGTGCCAAGTTTGCAGTATCCCAAGTAAAGCGTCCCGGCATGCACAAGCAACAGGTGGTGCCTTTATGAGTGCCCAGAGTATTGCATGACTGCAGCAGCTCTGGGTTTATTACCACGATCAAGGGGAGAGACGAGCGAGGGGAGGGAACATGAGTTGAATGTTGGTGCAAGAGACAGTAAAATGCGACCAAGCAAGGTGTGAGTACAAAGCAGAAGGAAATGACATCTGGGGAGAAGAAAAAAATAAAAATCCCCCAGAGTTTCAGGCACTACTTTCTCACTTTTCATTATGGTGTGAAGAAATGAGACAGATCGTTCCTTGGCTGGAAATAGAGACATCTCAGTTATCCCAAACCCTCCTTCAGCAGTCGAGCCACATGATGAACAGAGAATTCCAGGGAGGCCACGCTAACCTCGACCCCTGATTCTCTCTCAAAGTTAGAAGAGCCTCTGATTGTGAGTCAAGCCAGACGGCCCCAAAGAGTGTCATCCAATCGCAATTACAAAATCTCGTGGCCACCAAGAAGTTGCTCCATAAGAAATCGGCCTGTGTGCCATCTGCCAATTTAACGAAGCTGCACCAAGTGAAACATTAATGAATAATTAAAATAACTGCTGTATCACATCATTCCAACAGATCAACAGCTTTCATCTGATGTTTGTGATGAATGAGACTGCACAGACTTGGATATTCCCCAAATATAGGACACAATTCTGGGACGTCAGAAGAGGTCAAATTTGATGACCCAGCAGGCTAAGCTGACCCATATTCATTTCTACTGTTGAGTGACTGAAGCTCGAAACACTTGCTGAGTTAATCAATGCTGAAATGCACAACATGTAAACATCGACTAATATTAAGTCTAAAAGCCCACGCATGCAACTTTACTGTCAGCATGCGACTGCTCTTTTTAGGATTGTCTAATTAACTCAACTTTGCTCACACCTCCCTAATTAATATCTACTTCTGATCACATTAAACTTTATCTTTGAGCAAAGATCCCTGTGAAGACCACTTTAGCTCAAAGTGCTGTGTTGACAGCCTGACACCAGCTTCCACACTTGCAATGGCGACAAGCCAAGCTGTGACCAATTCACATTCCTGCTAAATTGTCAATTAACATGTATGAAGACGGTATCATCTCTCATATCGCAGTACTGCACACTTCTGTTCGGCCATCTGTTAACCGGACTGTGCCAGAGTCGTGTATGGACCATACAGCCGGGGAGAATTCAGTCTCCGCTGCACATACCTCTCTTCTGATTAGAGTAAACGATTCACGTAGTTGGGCGAATAATAAAACGATTCACAGCCTGGAAAATGTAGACAGTTATTTCTTATAAACGTGCTATAAAGTTAATACCTAAATCACCTACGCCATATTTAACATCAAATAGAATATTGTCTAGTGTCGTACAGAGTCAAAAGTACATCAGTTTTTAGTGATGGAATGTAAATACGTTTGTTCAAAAACTGCAACAAAGCAGACCTTTGAAGAACTTATTCTTTATTTTCACTTTTTGCTCTTTTACTTCACTACAAAGCTCATTCATGCACTCTTTACTCCAATGCACTGTCAGCTATAGTCAATAGTTACATCGCAGACTTCACAAACATATGAACATAGCGCAGGATGTCCTCTAATCGCAAAGTTGGCGTTTCAATACCCCACCCCTCCACAGTCGAAATGTGCTTGGGCAAGACACTAAACCCAAAGTTGCTCCCAATGGCAGGCAGCACCTTGCACGGCAGCTCTGCTACCACTGGTGAATGAATGTGTGATTAAGAGAATATTGTAAAGGACTTTGAGTACCACTAAGGTAGAAAAGCGCTAGATAAGTGCAGACCATTTATGATACATAAATACTTTCATTTTAATATTGAAATACGTTTACGAAATAAGAAGTGGAGTATTTTTACCTTGATGTATTCCTGTTGAGAAAAGTGTCTGACTTCTTATTTCACTATTGTCAGTTTTAATAAACCAGAAGCCAAAAAAAAAAAAGGCTGGACGTTCTATTCAGTACAGTCGCTTCACATCTATCTTAGACTGCACATCATGTTCCTCACTGCACCATTGATCGCGGTGATAATTTAATATAAGGCTGGCTGCTCTCGGAGTTATGATGTTAAGATGACAACCAAAACCTGTCCTACTAACTTTCTGAATGTGTGTATCCTAGTGACAGTGGGATTGAGGTAATACCACATGTATAGCGCAGACCTCAGGTTTTCTGGGTATGATAAGCATTTTTGCTAAGAGGACGTCTCCGCTCAATGTCTCTTAGTACATTTTCAGCAGAGTAATCCTTTGAAAGTATAATTCAGCCAAAATTGAGTTTTCCACACTGTTGAGTCCATGACGGAGACATGATGAGCGCCACTTTAGGGTCAGAGAAGTGTGAAAAGCGAGCATTCAATTATTCTGGATTTACAGTCAGAAGTTTAGCTTCTTCTTCTTCTTCTTCCTCACTGGTTGAGTATGTGTGTGCTTTAAAAAAGTTGTATTTACTTCAACATCCTGGTTCAAAGGTCAGTTAGAGGCCAAATCTTACCAACACACTGCAGCCGGAGATAAAAACCAGTTTTCCTTCGTGTGTGACTGTTGCCATTAAACTTCTAAATAACTGTCACTTTTTTTTTGACTGTATTTATTTGTGCCAAAAATAGAGAATCTTAAGAAAAGAACTGACAGGCCTGTGCAAAGCTATAAACTCAGTATGAACTCAGTAAATGCACAGTCGGGAAAATGAGAGCAGAAAAAAAAGAGCCAAAAAAAAAAGAGCCTTCTTTTTTTACAACCAGCTCTACAACCAAAGGTATCAAAAATATCTCCTGATTTATATACGTGGCTGCGGGCTGAGCAGGGTGTATCAGGATAGTGACGCTAGCCGAGCAGTAAATCAGACACAGGAGGGACCTCATCAGTCACTTGCCTCTTACGAGGTATGAGGGCATCACCTTTCCTGATCACATGATGCACCCCCTGGAGCTCCAAAACATTACCCATATTTGACAAAAAAAAAGTCTCTCTGATGCTAAGGTTATTAAAATTATGCAGATTTAAAAAAAAAAAAAAAAATGCAAAAAATGTGCAGCTACAAACACCTGAAGGGGGGAAGATGGTGACCCGTGCTTTTGCCTGGAATAATGCAACCTTTAAAGTATAGCTGGTCTCAAAAAAAACCAAAAAAAAAACTCTTACAATTCCCTAATTTTCAGAAGAAACACAGCTAATGCATCCAGCACAAAGATGCAAACTCAAAACAATAGATGCTTGACAGACAAATAAGAAAAATAATCACCTGCATTTAGATCCAATAATGTAAAAGGAAAAGAACTGCATTGACTGAGTGAGATAAAAATGTTGCTTAAGGGAGCAGGTTTAGAGCAAAGACTGGGATATCAAAGAATAGGTAGATATGGATGGTAAACAGAGTGGAAGGGAGGCTACAGGGCGCCAGAGGAGGTGGAGTGTGAATTATGAGACAGACCATTAGAAACAGACGCAGACAGTTGCTAAGAGCCAGTTGGCATGTAGGTCACGGAATTTAAAGAAAACCAAGCCATCGCTGAGCATGTGTCACCTGAAAGCTGGAGTTGGGTAAACATTTAGCAGCAGTACGAGGAAGCGTGGAGCGGTGCGAGGGAGAACTTAGGAGAACTTGGACGAGCATTTGGTCTATTTTTACGCAACCTGCAATCAACCTGAGGCCCGAATCTACGGCCATCACGTTGTGATGAGGGCATCCGTTAAAGGCGATGAAAGAAATCTGGCACAAAATTTGCTGACATCAAGCACCTCAAAGAGAGGGTTATGAAACTGGTACAAATCACAAGGTAAGAGTTTGACTGTCATGCTGGAGTTCAAACTAAACTTGAACCTTGATCACATACCCACCCTTTATTGGTTTCAGCATTTTATTAATATAATTATTTTTAATATAACCTCAAAATCTGGGTTCATATTTTTCCAAGTCCAAGCTAAAACAACAGTGAGGTGCACATATGAACACTGAAAAAGGTTTTGCTTGTTGTAATAACTGCTATTTCCAAACCTTAGTTGATTGAAATACAAGGCTGCAGAAGTCTGGTTTTCATGTGAGTATTTTTATTGCAAAGTCCCTGCATTGTGTTACTGTCCCTCCACTGCAGGTCAGCACAGAAACAAGATATTTGATTTTTTCAAACTCAGACTGCAGCCTCATATTGGTTTTGCATAAATTTAGAGAACACTTTTTTTTTTTTTTGCACAAATTCATGACTAGTGATTTTATTTTCCATCTCTTAAATTCTACAAATTTCTTCATTTTCAGTGAGAAATATTCAGAACAACAAAAGCTGTTTCAAGGTATTTATTGGCGCCTGCTATTGTTAAAAGTCAGACTTGAATGGGAAAATGTGAAGGCATTCTTCAGTACAAAAATGATGTGTTCGATTTGTATGAATAAAAAAAACAAACATACAAGTAATTCAAACTACAAGGGTAGTCATTGATTTAATCTCTAAAAACATATTTGTACATACATATTTAGAAGTTTCTTAAATGAAAATAATCACTTTATGCCTTGAATTGTATTAGATGTAATGACACATTGTTGCTTTTTCTAGAATGTGCAGATTTATGAAGTCCAATCATCTCAACCACTGACTCTGTGCTACACAGTGGCAAACTGAAATACTGGAGGACTTCAGCGATCATTGTTCGAACCAGGAACTGATTCTGAAGAACGGTGCCTATCTACACACTGACAGGATTGGTTTCTTAGGTTTGTTATGTATGAAACTCTCAGAAGTCTGAATCCATGTTTTTGAGTTTTTCTTGCTACATTGCAGTTGAAAGGCGGAAGTGCTCAGCCATGGAAGTGACTGCTAATTCCACTCATGATAAGTCTTCCAGCAAAAAAAAAAGAAAAAAAAAACACCAACTGGGCATGTTAACAATATTAAATACTTTTTTTTTTTTTTTTAAACAGCAAAATATAGACTAGCTTACTTCTTTATAACTGTATCTATATGAATGAATTAATAAATGAAGTTATTTTATGTCTACAACATAAATCATCAGTTACTGACAAAGTACTATCTCTATATTTGAGAAAATAAAATACCCACTTTAAAAAGTCCATCATGCCTTTTTTGTTGCAGCTTTAGAGACAATGTTGGTTTTTTAAAAAGAAAAATTAATCACATCAAAACTGAGCAGATACTGATTTTAGAGTTTTGTTGAGTCATTCAATGAACCGCTGACTTTCTCTAAAATTACACAGCTCACATAACCGCCTTAGAATTTTTCAGTCTGTAGCTAAACTTTATTGGCTATTTTTGTTTCACATGCATATGCAGCATGTCCACAGTTTAAATCAATATGGGCACATGTGTACTTTCTAAACAACGAGAAAAAACCCAAACCCCCCCAAAAAACAAGAACTTAGTGAAATCACTCCCAGCAAAGTCGATAGGTTTTACATTTACATTCCTTTATTAGACTATCAATAAATTCTTTTAAAAACTAAAAGGTCACAATGCTGAATCACCGAGCTATCTTGTAGCTCGTCATACTTTCACTATCGATGGGCATCACTTGTAGTTTGCTGTAGCAGTCTTCTGAAAATAGCGCGGGACAGAATTTATGCCCTTCATCAACCCTTTCCAGACCTCGACCTGACCAGATGACATGACTCAACCTCCGCCAATAAACCAGAACATGCCTGCGGTGTCCTCTTTCTATGTGAGGGAACCAATAAGCCTCTTAAGTAGCTGATGAAAATGTATGTGTGTTTAAGCATTAAGTGCTTATGATTGTATAACATGTAGGAACATGTAAGCTGCTGCCTCCTGGTAGCAGACACCAAAATCCCCATGTGAGATAAAACACCATTAACAACAAACCAGGTTAAATAAAGGTCTCTTATGATCGCATTCATCATCACGTTTTACAGTGAACTACATGTTTGCTGTGCCTGCTACACAATTTAAACAGTGAAAGACGTACAACCATCTGCTAGAAAATGATACTTGGAGGTGTACTTCTTCACGTTATGGCAGATTTATGGTTGTTGTTGTTTGCTGAAGGGAAGGTTTACTGTCAGGGCAGGAAAGTTTGGGCAAGCAGGAATACCAGCATGTGGTTAAAACAACTCAGGGAGGTTTGCAGTACTGCGCCTGTAGCAATTTTTGGAACATCCAAAGCATATGATACATTATGCAAATGAAATGAAAACACTAGATAATGTAAGTATAGTACGCTGCATAATGTAAGTTACAAGTTGGAGAAGCATGTATGTGGGATGATGCTTATATATGTATATATAGCATCATTTATTGTACGTGTATTTCTGTGAGGGATGTTTGGTCTTGTTTTTTTTTTTGTTGGAGCGACTAACACTTGTAAACACTCTTGATCAGGTTTCAGATGTTCAAAGGAACACAGACTCCCGACAGCTGCCTCATGTTTGGCATGACACCCCGATGGGAGGAGACAATGTGACACATCTACAGTACGCTTCGCTTCTTTAGTTACGCCTCTGTGGACGGTGGCTGGCAACATTTACAGCGAGTCCTAAAATAATACAACAACCAGCGACATGACATGCAAGTGGCATACCACAGCATGTCATAGCAGACAAGGGGACAAAAGCATTTTATGTCGCAGCGTTCGACCTTGATTTAGACGCAGCCATGTTCATCTGGAGGTTACAGTTAAATACAGGATAACCTTTTCGAAGCAGAACTACAATAAACAGCCATTTCAAATCGAATGCATCTGTTATGAACATTTTCAAAGAAGACACTTTGTCGCGGACGTCAAACTTTTTTCATCCATATTTGTATGTATTTCCACCCCAGTTTGTCGAATCAATCGTGGCCATTTAGAAATTCTGTATTTTGTTAATTAAAGTCGGCAGGATGGTAATTACTGTGTCCCAGTGGTCAAGAATTGATTACTTCCAGTGAATGCCAAAATCAGTTTATGAGTTTAGAAATGCACTGGGCAAGTACTTACTTGGACATCAACACTGCACACGGAAAGATATTGATTGTAGTAAAAATATCCACCTCTTTGTTGTGTATAATTTGAATCTTCTTTTTCAGGTCATATTAAATGTAATTTGTAATATAAGTGTGTCAAATAGTGTGTCCTGATGATCATGAAGTATATTTCTACTGCATCATAAGCTGAATGTCATATGTGTTTGTTATAAATAAACCAATCAATCAATCACAAACACAACCCAAACTTGGTGCATTCAATTTTTTCTTTTTTATTTCAATAAAAAAATTCATGCTATTTAGGAACAATTTATAAACATGGCAATACATTTTAGAAGTTAAGGATCACATCAACTTTTATAGAACATTTGATCCTGTTTACATAATTTACACTGATCCAGTCCTGAACTTGTGAACTCATATATGTCTCGATTCCAGGCTTGTAAACAACTGGACTTCATCCTCATTTGTGTCACTACATCTGGTTTACGAGAACAAACAATTCTTTAAGAGGTATTTAACCTGCTCCCTGACCCACCCTTCAAAGTGCCCTCCTGCTTCACCGCCCACCCAACCTCCAATGTCTTTGGAGTCACCACAAATACAAAAAAGCCTAAACAGCTTTTGGCAGTCACTGAGTCTAGGCAGTAGAGGAGCATCAAGCACAGACTTTGCACGCTGCTAGAAGGATCTATTACATTGAAAAAATTAGGAGAGGGCACAAGTGTGACCAGACTGCTGTCTGAAAAGGAAGAGAGCTGAGAGCAGTGAGGACTGTGAGCAGGTAGGTAGCCCTCACAATGAAGGCTGGATGAGAAAATGTACTGAGCAGAGATGAGAAATTGGTTTACATGAGCCTGTTTCTTGTAAAGTCAACATCTGTGAAGATAATCAGGATGAAATCAATGTGTATCATTTCTATTTGCAGCAGGAAAATGTAGTACTTTGTGAGCACAAAGAGGCAGTAAAAAAAACAAAAAAAACACTTAAATTGTACATGCATGTGAAATGCAGACATGTTCCTATTTTATGCTTCAAAGATCTGTGCTTGCTATAAGAGCAATAAAGAAAACAGAATGTAATGTGTAATTTGTAGCTTTGTGTAGTACATTTCATTTCATCTAATGTCAGTTGTTACACAGTATATTAATTATATGAATTATTTAGACACACATTAAACATTGTACAGGATTTAATTACGTAGAAGACACAGATTTGGTCTTGCTGGATAAAATCACTTTAGTGAGGCATGCAGGCTTCTCAGTTTGAATTTCACGGTTTTAAATCTGGGAAGCTGGATCATAGCAGTGTGGTCAGAGCTGTGAGGTTGTTGGGTGATGACTAACTTTAGATGGCGGTATCAAATCAATACGGAACCTGAGATTCAGGGAGGGAGTGGGCCGTATTTTTGGCAGGAAATAGGATTTCTTTTCACATTAAAGAAACACACAGGGCTATAGCTGACACTGTCCTCTCTATACTTCTTTCTCACATTGTGCACATACAACTCTGTTTCTTTCCTGACAGTCGTTTAAAGAGTGATCACAGTGTACACACAGAGCGCTATAGGCCAAGCATTTCTTACATGTTTTGAATTGCATGTAATGCATCAACTTGTCAACTCTCTTACAGAAATTTTAACACATAGAGTAAATCTGCTGGAAAGTTCAAACAGCACCATTAGCGTGCATTTGACACCAAACGGTGTTGTCAACAGGCCTGGTTTTGTGCGAGTTAAACAGCAAAAGCCACTCTATGTCTAGTACGCTCAGCTGCGATCAGTGACGTGCGGGAAAAATTGAGTGAGGGACATTTGAGAAGCCACCAGATGCCATTTTCAGAGTATGTGGTCAGTGGTGCAGTCATCTGCAGTGGGTGGCAGATTCACTGAAACATGCCACGTCTGACTGAGACATTAGATGTAATATGTATGTGTGCTGTGCAGTGTTTCCAGCTTCTTTTCCTGCAAACTTCCATACATTTTAAATATTATATGCCATGCTGAAGGGGCCGTGTGACCTCAAAAGCTGCAGCATTGCAAACAAACTGACATTTCCTTACATAAGAAACATTCATTTATCATACTTATACCAGAGCTCATTTTCTTTATTGTGTCTCCAGAACATAACAGAGTGACACATTGCCTATATATGAAATAACAATATCAACGGCTAACAGTATAAAGAAACATGGGAGAGTGACTCCCAGGACAAATTCAGACTGACTGAGAGTGAAACGCTGGATATATTTTCTTTCTGCTACAGTGGTCCAACATTTCAGATAGCCCCATCTCTAATTTTAATCTTGGTGACTTGTCATGTTGCCTGCAGTGACAGCCAGCCTGCCTACATACTGGTTATATCTAATGATGTTAAGAAGCATGGATTTTTTTTATTTTTTTTTTTACAGCAGCAGAAGTATTTACTGAAATGCAGCCTACAGCACACATCTTTGAAATCTCTGGGACAGCGACTGAGACAGATGTTCAGCATGTATTGACAGCTATTTTGTCTACAATATTTCCTCCCCCACAACTCAGAATTCATTATAAAAAAAACATGAGAGCCAAAGCCAAACATTAAACTATAAATGCAACGCTAAAATGGCGAAACTGCTCAGCGGAAGGGGAATAGGAGTGGGTTTTCTTTAATGCAAAGAGCCGCCTGCCAAGATGTCTCCTCTTGCAGGCTGTTTCTTTTTTTTTTATTTTTGCTTTTGCCATATGTGTTGTGTAGTTCATTTTCGAGACACATCAAGAGCCAAGATCGCTGCTGGAGCCCAGAACCCTTCTGAACATATGCTGGAGCATGTGCACAACTAAAAATAAAACACTTACTTTCAAGATGGCAGGTTTTATTTTCAGCAGGGCATCAGGACGGACTGTAAATATCCAAAAATCTAAGGGGGAATATTTTTAATTCAGCAAATCAGTCAAATACAGTCTCAACATAAAGAGATTTTTCTTTCATTTCATTATTTCAAAGGGTTAGAAGTCAGGAGAATTGTTTTTTTTTTCCTCAAATCGGTCCTTTTGATGAGCGACCATCTTTCATGAGCACAGTTTAGTTGAGTTTTGAGGTGTTAATCTCTCAAAGAAGACGTGAAGGTGACAGAGAAAAACTGTTTGTAGGATTTAGTGCAGGTTTAGTTCACATGTTGTTTGAAAACCAGGCAGGATAAAGGCAGCATTATATTCTAACACCACCTATTAGACTAAGTTAATATAGTGATGCAAACAAAAAAACATGCAATCAATAGATGCTGCATCTTTTTCATGCAGAACCACAAATGTTGATTATAGCTGTTATTTTAAAAAAATATTGCAGCAGGAAACCAGTCACGATCTAAACAGTAGTTGCATTTTAAACACACAATGTTCTTCACACTGACAGCAGAACTCAAACAGGACTCACCTCCTCATGTCATCATTATCATCTGAAAATCTAGGTTGAGCTACAAAGTAATAATATGACAATAATATTAATCGCCAGTATGTAACCACACCTACTTTAAATCCCTGTCCAATGAGAAGGTTAAGACCTCTGACATGAGAGGGTTTAGGTCAGATTTTACAAGAACAAAAAATAGTAATGACGTACATGTGACTTTTCATAACCGTCTGGAGACTTGACTCATGTAACGCTGGAACATGTGTCACATGAATCAGACAGTGATCATCATAAGTGTCACATTGCACCTGATGTTTCGATGTAAAACTCTTCGGGTATCTTTAAAATAAAATAAAAACCCAACAACACATTGTCTTTGCTGTGGCAAACTAATTCTTACCACTTAGATTAAGTGCTATAATATTAATAATTTGACAACTGCTGCGTATCTTTAAGTGAGTACATCATGATTTACCATCAGTGCCCTCTTTGGTACATTAGGTATTCTCATGAAATCTAATGCCAACAGATTCTCAGCCATAAATTCTTGATAACAATGTTCAGCTTTGTTGTAGTTTCCAGCAATGTTTAACAAAACTGCATTACATTTCTAGCATTTCGCCCAACATAGTTACAAACATGAGACAGGGTGAGTATTAGAAGCACATTTATATATAAGGCAGTCCAGCACAACATATAGTTTGAGCACTCTGTGTCCAAATGATTACACCTCATACTAAATAATTGCAACAGTCTGATTCCTGTCCAGTCAGACCTTTGTTGCATGTCATATCTCCATCACTCTGTCTACTCCACTGTCATTATCAATAAATGGGGAAAAAAAAGATATAAACAAACTGAAATGACCCCTTTCAGACAGTGTCAGAAATATGCTAACTCTTCCAGAATACATCATTTGTGGTGCATCTGTTGTATTGGAATGCATTACACTGAACAGGCAAATTTACTGTAAAAGGATTATATATTTTAATTAGTTAACTGTAAAATTGCAGGTGTGGTTTAAACTGTGGTGGAAACTTGCATTGTAAGTACTGTGTAAAGGGTTTCTAGATGTTTAACTTCTCATCTATAACACAAAGAGAGACCCTAAATCATTTTTGCAGCATGACAGCAGCACCGAATATACAGTCAAAGTCATCAACGTCCATCTTCAGCAATAAGAAGAAGAAGGATTCCTGCAACAGACAGACACAAAGACCTGATCTCCACATCACCAAATCAGTCTGGGGTTGCACCTAGAGACAAAAGACCACGAGACTCTTTAAATCCAAAGAAGAATTGTTGAACGTTTTCAAGTATTTCTGGAACAACCTACCTGCCAAAGGGTAGTCACACTAAATGCACTAAGTTGATGTAGTTTTAATCTGTTTACTTTAGTTTTGACCATGCTTGATGGATAAACTATCAATGTATCCTCACTTTTGGTGCCTAAACCCTTTGCACAGTATTTTTTTCAACCCGAACCCTAAATCATCAATAGAATACAGAAGGGGAGGCCCTAGCAAGTGGCAGTCTGTGCAGTATTTTCAAGCTAAGCCCTATTCTTCACCCTGTTTATATAAGGCTTCAGTAAGATCTGTGCTTAATTAACACATCTCTGTAAAGGATTCCCAAGGCAGGCATTCATCCCATGCTAAAGCCAACACTTACTGTAAAGGACACTGGCTGCTGCCTCTTACTGACTGTTTAGAGTAACTGCACTGCTGGAGAGGAGCAGGGTGCCTCTGAAAAAACAATTTAGAGCAGCTCCTGAAGTTTTAACTGACTGTGTGACAACCTCTGAGTGGCATTTGCTTTCAAAAAGAGAATGAGAAAATAAAAGTACAGCCATTCCCAAACACCTCAAACTCTGATGAGAATGTCAGACAATAACGTTGATTTCAGTTTGAGTTGTGAAAATATGACGTCCTAAAGATTTCCTCTTTTATCTTCTGTCTCTCTCTTCTTCTTTTCGTTTTCTGCAGAGCCTTCTGAATCAGCAGAGCTCAAGAGGAATCCAAGATGTGGAAGAGGTCAAAGGTGACCGATCAGACTGCCGCTGGGCAGGCAGGTAAGTGCAGAAGTCCGTCAAACGTTGGTATTACAGGTGTCTCCTCCTGTATTTTCTCTTATCCCAGGAATGAAGATGAACTGGATCCATTTGATGTACAGTATGCAGCTAAACGTTATACAAAAAAAAAAGACTTGTGCGACGTTGCATCAAGAATCACCAAGCTACAAAACAAGAAAGCACATGAGAAATCTGCACCGTCAAGGATCCTATAATGTCGATGTCTTGTCTAAATAAAGGCATCTTTTTTGAAGACATGGAATACCCAAGGCATCTGAATAATGCTGTCAAGTTGAGTGCTCCCATTTCTGATGACATAAAATGAAGATAAGCACCATGTATACTTATTTTGTTAGGTGGAAGCAGTCCAAATAATGATCGGATTTCAAATCCCTGCACTTCCATCCATGAATTCGAGAAACCTCAACAGCAAAGGCCTTTTTTTTTTGTGTCAACAGGGGAACAAATACCACTCGTCAATTATTATTATTATCATTATTTTTTTTTTTTTTTTTTGCTGTCCACAAAAATATAAAGATCCTGGCCGTGGAAGCTATTGTTCATCAGCTTCTCCCTGCCAAGGCTACGAAGATGTTGGTCAAAGAGAAGATCAGAGATGTTACAGAAGCCAGAAGATGAGACAAAAACAAGCTGAACAAAAGGCTGTTGAACAAAAAAAGCAAAAAAAAGAAACAACATCTCCTAAAGAAAGAAAGAAATTGTTGACACAAAGAATATTCACTCAGGATTCATCTGAAAACCGGCACTGGCTGCTGCTGATGGTAACGAGGATGATCAACAAAACCATCAGAGCAAAGAGAATCATCTAAGAGAGAATTGAAAAATGAAACGGTGTCCTTGTTTGACAGAAGACTAAATGAAGGCTCATTTGAAATTAATTTCCCGCAAATTGCTTTTCCACAAGTATTTGCACATAATTTCTCTCAAGCACTGCGCAGGAATCATCCTAAGATGTCTGCCATGAGAAAATGTGTCAGCGAGTTAAGTCTAATCAGCAGTTGCGCAGCACAACTACTCACATGCTGCTGTAACACCATACTGCTAACATACTGTAATATATTTTGTCTTTGACTAACAGTTTTCGTTTTTGTCACTGAGTATTCTGGTCTGCTGAAGTTCTGTCTCTGTTGGTGTTTGTGCTTCCCATTCCTGGGTTATATATACTGTATACTGTGGTGTTTTATGTTTATTATGTGTCCATAATCCTGTCGAAGTTCCAACCTGCCATGGTGCTTTTGTCAGGATTATTATTTACCTGTCCTGTTCCCTCTCCCGTGTCACAATGCGTGTTAAGTCAACAGTTCTGAGGGAGTTCACCCAGACGACAAAGGTATGGGAGCAAAGAAAAGAAAAGAAACAAATCGAATCACACTGATTCGTCTTCTGTAAATGCATGATTCCATGTTGGGTGAGTTGCATGTATGATGTGATCACCACTCCTTGAAAGGTGTCATCCAGAACGGATGATGAAACTTTCAGTGTCACAACAAGTGCATTTCATTGTGACATTTCCAACAACCTCCACATGAACACTAGCTACAGCCTGTTATTAGAGGGCACTGTGGTTGATTGCCATGGGTTTAGCTTATCATTTAAAGGAAAAATGCCACTTTAAAAAAAATAACAAAAAACGTATATCCAAGTGCTGATTATTCCTGTACAACATGCTGGCACAGTTCAGTCTCAATAGGTTTTTGAACTTGCTCTACAAAGATGACTCCAAGCGATGAAATCATCTGTCCTGAAGTCTATGGAATCTGATAGGCCACCCCAGTGCCCCCAGCTTAAACATGATTAACTTGGAAATTTCGGTTAACACTCAAAACCGCATGAATTTGGTAAAAGTGAAAAGATCACCGGTAAATTATTCTAGTACTTGCACTTATTTACATGATAACTACCAGTCACCCCCTTCAAATTAACCTTTCTGTTTTCCCTTTGAGATTTTTTGACCTCCTCATGCCTGCCCACATGCGACTGTCACACACACAAAATTGCAATTTCTACAACCCTGCCAGTTCAAAGCAAGTCTCAGAGAACCATGCACTGTCAAATTAACACACAACTCTAAGGTTTCAAGGTAATCAGCTGGAATGACACCCATGACATCTGGAAGCCTTTACATCGCATCTAACTCTTGATATCTTTTGACTTGTTGTAATCCTGTGACAATTATTCTGAAGCAACAAAAGCGCACAATGCTCTGAGGTATCAAACTAGCTTAGAGGAAACTTGTCTTTGAATTTAAACATGAAGTAAAACAAGGAAAATAGAACTGACATTTTCACTATGGATGTCAAGAATTATGCACTGTGACTAACTTGCTGTAGTCCGGGGGGCCTCTTCCAGGAAGTAGGCGTGACAAACTCTGACCGTGACTGAATTTGGAGATGGGAAACAGAGTGTTAAGTTTGAAAAGAACAGCTCAGAGTTACTTTAGTCTACTCAGACTATGTTCCCGGTAGGTTCAGTGTGTGCATTCTGAATATATATATTATAACTTGTACCATTTTATTCCAGTCAAGGTAGAAATATGAAATTGTTCATTCTTAAAAACATAGCAGCAATGAAAGAGTAACAATTAGATAAAAGAGAAGTTAAATAATTAACACTAACATATTTAGCACACTGCACTGATGAATGAAAAAGTATTGGAATCTCATTTTATATTATACATTTATATTACACATTCCTTCAGTTTCAGCTGAAAAGATTCAACTGTTTATTTTACAGACCAGTATTAGCAACCTCATAATCTGATGCAATAATTGTGATTTTAGTCATTTGGAGTGCTTATGTTTAAACTGTGCTATTAGTAGTAGTAGTAAAAATGTAAACATTGCTAAAATAGTTAGAACAAATCAAGGTCAGAGTTAAATGAATAAATAAATAAATAAAATCATATCTTCTGAAAGTTCTGAAAGTTGTTCTATGTCTCTGTAGTTTTGTGGTTAAGACTGTGACAAAACACAAAGTGCGTATGGTCAAGTACCAGTCAGTGACGCACTTCTACGGCTATAATTAGTGCAGAATAAATCACACTGTAAAGCAGAATTCTTAAAAACTGAATGAGTAAATAAGGAGGACGATAGGGGATCTTAAGAAAAAAGAAAATCCCATCTTCTGCTTATATTTCTGATGAAATGCATAATATCAATCTTTGCTTTGTTATTCTGGTAGGAATTCATCGTCAGAAAACCCCGACTACAATACTACAATGAAAGAGTCCAATAAATGTGACGCACAAGCAAACACAAAATAACCTTCAATAAAGATATTCATTTTGAAAAACAACTCCACACAGGAAGAAAGCAGGGACATTAAAAAATAGTCCTAAAAATAGACAACTTAAAGAGAACTGAGATGCCTGTGGTGCACTAGACATATTCTAAAAGCTGTTATTTACAGCTACAGGCTACAACTGAGGACCTAATGAAAAACCTTCTGCTTTTTAATGCAAGTGGCCACATACAGTATATAGATACATTCTTACCCATCTGGCAGCTATGATTGGTGTAATGAAAAGCAATCTACTATGACCTTAACATAGCATAAATAGTATAGCCTCAAGCGCATAAATCATGTCCAAAGTGCTCCAGGATGAAAGGAGGTTTACAAATCTTTATTTGCACCAAAGTTATGCCAATTAAATTCAATTTTCTGCTGACTGACCCATGGAATCAGTGCCTGGCTTAAACATGCAGTTCTAATTGTTGGGCTACACTGAAAGGCTGATCAATATTTCCTCACAAACATGTTGCTTTTGATTTTGATGATGTCAGCATAATCCTCATCCATTCATAATCACATTCAGCTTGTTAACAGCAGCAAAACGAGCGTAATATCATCACCGCCATCACCAGCAGCACCTGCCACAAGCAATTCACCTCCAATGTGCTTTACACTGCAAAATGGCAGGGTTGTCTGCTCACGCATTCTCTTCTTTAATCCAGATATATCATAGTTAACATTCTGCCTGTTACAGGTCTTTCATGGCAAGTGAAAATAATTAAAGACCAGAGATCCCTGGACCAGCTATGCCCCTGTGATCAGCATTCAGTGATGCTCTCCTCGAGATTGCTGAGGGTTAGTTCATATTTGTACTCTCAGGGGTTCTGGGCTCTATGCAAAAATGATGATCTGGATGCTGCAGAGTTGAGTTATACCTTGTATGCCCAGAAACAGCAGAGGACAGAGCCTATTTAATTCTTTATGCTTCTTTTTTCCATCATAAATTAAAATTTTCAAACGGTCTCTCCTGTTCACACAGACTCTTACAAACAGAACTGTGCTAACAAAACAATTAAACTCTACAGTACAACAATACATATTTAAGTAAGTTTCAGATACCTTTTCAAGACTTTGTGATAGTTTACCACAAATAAATTGTTGCCAATACTTTAGTCAGTGAAGCCAGACAGAAGTATCTACGGACTACCCTAAATATGTCTTGTCTCATATTCTAATGAATATTAACTCAAAGTTTTCACCCTCCTTTACAATTACATAAATAGATATAAATGTTTACACAGTACACACGATTAAAGACTATAATAACACCCTTTTATGATTAGCTTGTTGGGATTAAAACTTTCATAAATACAGCCACCTGCGGTGCATGCTTACATCGGGATTAAACACTCACGACTACATCAACTCAACAGGCCTATAACAATCTCCAAATACGCTATTAAATAGAACTCACTGCACTACGTAAAAACAAATTGTGCTTTTACCTAGCTGGGTGCATAAATTAGACAGCCACTGTCAAAATGTTTCTGAAGGCCTGCCCTCCTGTTGAACTTATAGTATGTATTTCCCATGATGAGTGTCCCGTGTTAAACATGTTGCGAGAGTGCAGTGTCAGCCAACACACCAGAGATGCAGAGTATGTGGGAATGCAAATTAACTTACTTGCACTTTTTGTTCTTGCAAAAAGAGCAATGAATTTATTTATTTTTTTGCAAACTATGAGAGCAAGTTCAACAAACTATCAGCAGAGTCAAACTCACCAAATAACACTTGAGAGATGACTATTCCTTTGATTTAGAAAATCTGCACTTGCAGTTTGTATAAGAAAGTACTACATCATTTTCCAAAAAATGGATCTTCTGTTAGCTGTTATGCTACGTAGTGGTCACAGTTTTGGTCTGGTATTGTGGCATTTTTACGTCAGAATGTGCCCTTTCTTCATATAAACATTTGACCAATATGTTTGAATGTGACTGTCTAAAATTTACATTGACAAGTGTTTACTGGATCACTTGTCTGTGTCTTAGATTTGTGTTGATGTTAAATGAATCTGAATACAATCTTAGTTAGCTTTTTGTTAAAACCATTTTGTTTTCCTTCGAACATAATGACCTCACAGATGTACATAGGTGACTCCTCGGAATTCAGTCTCTCTAACTTCCATGTTTCAAGTGGCCATACTGTATAAAGGAATTGTAGGATATTTCCAAGTGTGCCCTAACATTTGCTCACTCCACATAATGCTTATTAGCATTCATCTTTAACTGCTCCAAGAGAAACATTGAGCCTGTCTAATTGTAAATACTTTTTAATTTGGTCAGGCATCAAGAAGAAGTCCAAAGTGCCCGGTGTCATGATAACGCAGTTTATAGAGGAACTTCCAGAAGGACTGTCAACCCCAGATTTCACCCGCAAACCCATCGCTTTGACTATTCAAGAGGGTAAGTGTTCGGTCTTCCTCTGACTGTAGATTCAGGGCCATCACATCACTTAAACAGACTTATGGTTAAACATGCCTGAGCCTAAAGCTTAAATTTCCCAATGTGGACTTTCATGAAAAAGAGAAGAACATTGATTTACACAACACATGTTGAGAATAAAACATGACAAAGTCAAGGTAAGAGTTATTGATGAGAAAGCAGTGTACATGTATATTTACACTTAAAGAGAGTTAACATACAGTATATCCATAGTTAATGGACTGAGCAAGACAGTGAATCACAACTGCTCCCAATGCCTGTGCATGTGAGAAATAAAATTTTGTCATTTTAAACAAAACTTTCAGCTCAATAGAGATTATTGGTTCCTTATTTGGCTTTTAAAATTAGGATCAACTACAGTGTTTCCATGGAGTATAATGGTTGTGATCAGGTGTTTGAAGTATATGGAACCCTGGAAGGGACATGGAAAAGGAAAAGAAAAAA